CAGCTTATCAACCCTTTGCAGCTTATTTAATACCCCAAAATATTTTTATTATTAGACTTTTTGGATATAATAATGACTTACTGAAAAAAGTTCTACTAATTAACCCATAGCTGGAGGAGACGTGTTGTATACAAATATTTCCCAAAGGTATTTACACGTAAGTGAATATAAGGGACACAACTGGAATTGTAACTCGGCTCTCCGATTTGCAATTCTCTGTCGTTTTCCATTACACAGCCGGCACGTCGAAGCTTACATCACCTGGTATTCATAAACGGTATTGACCCAGCTTGATGTTCGCTATCTTTCGTGATATATATATATATATATATATATATATATATATATATATATATATATATATATATATGCACACACACTAGCAGCATGGCCCGGCGTTGCCCGTGGTTGATTCAAAAATCGTACGACTCATACAGCAGTCGCTATCACTTGACGTAAAATATTTTTGCCCCTCCTTGCCTTTAAAGGAATGCCCTTTGCCATGCTGATGTTGCTACATGCCTTACTTCTTGCTTATCTCACACTGGGAATTTTTTCTAAGCTCTATACTAAACATTAAGTCTGTTACGAAAAAAGAACTAAACAAAATGAACACAAAACGATCAGCTTTAAAAAGGACTCGTAACTGGAAAAACCGAATGAAAAAAGAATAGTTTTTCACACCCAACCCAGTTCTGCGAAATAAGAATCAACGTTGAGTTTAAGCAAGCGAATGAGCCAATTGGAGTAAAGTGCCATGCAGATTTAATTTTTTCCCACTTGTGACGAATGCAGCTATCGATTTTTTTTGCATGCTAGCATGCTAGTTAACATACGTGTCAGTCATCTGTTGGCTCTCACGCTGGCCAATAGAATCTTCCTGCCTATTCGTGGCAGCCAGCTATAGGCTCTCACTCTGGCCAGTACAAAATGGCCGCAAACTACATTAAAATTGCCGTAGAAGCATGAAAAATCGATTATTTCCATTATCGATGGGAGTTGGGAAATGCAAAGTCGGTCTTGACCTTCTCGCTAACTTGGAACATGTGCATGTAAATTTTGATGCAAATCCGTCGAAAATTGCGGCCGTGCATTCGTTACACACACATACACATTTATATGCATATATATATATATATATATATATATATATATATATATATATAAAGACATTTTTATGTTTATACATTCTTTTATAGATACAAAATATTTAAGTAAATGCTCTGTTTATAATAAACAGTATTAAACAGCATTTATTATAAACAGAACATTTACTTAAATATTTTATCTATAAAAGAATGTACAAACATAAAAAATGTCTTAAAATAAATTGTCTTTCTATTTCATATATATATATATATATATATATATATATATATATATATATATATATATATATAGTCTTACGATGTGCTATATTTATGGGATAAATTGCTCAATATCAGAGATAGAGCGTGTGCAAATATAAAGGTGAACATAGAAGTCAACACTTAGAGGCGACAGTCTGTTTCATGCGAGACGCAATTGTCAGGCCACGAGTGCTCTTATTTTTCTCGGCTATTTATATATACGAGTCAGTCGTACATTGTGGGTAGTCTATTTTGGCAGTTATTGTATAACTATTATTGGTTATTGTATAACTGCAGACTATTAAATGTTATTGTATAACAGCCAAACTATTATTGGTTATTGTATAACCGCCAAAATAGACTACCCACAATGCACAACTGATATGAACTTGACAGAAGATTGAAAAACAAATGACAAAGAGCTCAAAGTGTAATTGAAAAAAAGAATGATATCAATTATCAAACTTATAATTTGAGAAACTTTTGCAACGAATGCCAAACTTTTGTGCTGCAGTAATCACAGCTAAAGGAGGATATTTTGACGAGAGCAAAATTTAATCATAACATGCTTTTTTTTCTTTTTCTCATAATAAACATTCTGATAAAAATCATGTTTCAATTTCATTTAACCATTTATAATTATTTTCTTGTATTTAAATTATATAAAAACTAGATTATAGGCTAATTTAAAAAATAATCAGGGGTGGCATCAAACTTTGGAACAGTAGTATATATATATATATATATACAGGAGATAACTGACATCCATTAAACATGGCACGTGGAACTAGAACCGTCTACCCCAGTGAGCGAAATAAAGGGTTCAGTTCGACATTACAACCACCTGAAGAAGGCCGGTTAAGACAGTAAAGAACTTTCAGAGGGAAATTAACAGGAGATAACTGATAACTGACATCCATCAAACATTTCACGTGGAACTAGAACAGTCTACCCCAGTGAGCGAAATAAAGGGTTCAGTTCGACATTCCAACCACCTGAAGAAGGCCTGAGCGTACAACGGCCGAAACGTTGTGATAAATATGGCGACAAAGATGAGGACAATAGTCCGAATAATGTAAATAATGTACATAATACCTCATCTCAGAAATATAGACAAATATAAAGTTAATATTGAGTTACTATGCAATAAATATAAAAATAAGAAGAGGAAAACTATAAAACTATAAAAATATGAAGATAGGGAATATATAATAGCAAATGGGTGGGTTTAGTTAATCGATACTGTTGTTTTCAAAATCTATGGGTCTCGTGGAAACAACGATATATTGTAAATTAATTCAACGTATATTTTTATAAGTATAATCTGATATCGATTCAAAGATGTCTGCAAAAGTGACATGAGGGCGATGAACATAAACATCGAGAGGTAGTAAGATGCCACCAATGATTGCTTACACTGGAGACGCGATTTACACCAAGGGGTGAACGGAGGAGAGAAGAAATGGATGCTTGCCGCTAGGGTGAAACGTACTTAGCGGAAAGAAAACCACAAGTCGACATCTCATGCGTTCGTTGCAACTGTACGTGTGGGCCTGAAAAGCCATAACCCATGCTGCACTGCCACTAGCAGCTGATGCGTACCTTTTGGAGCACAGATCCATGGGGTCATTCGAGACCGACGGGTGCCATATATATTACATTTGGCTTGCAGATACTTACAGTGAGATATGAATGATAATCTTCTGTATCAAGTTTTAAATCAGGTCTGTCATGTAGATTTCAACGTTAACAATAATCTACTTACAGAGTTTTGTTTTAGAGAATCTGAATTCATATTCAAGAGCTCATTTATTAAATTTATGCCGACATAATTGGAGTTGGCGCTCGACTGTATGGATATTTTGGCTCTCTAGCAGATCAAGAAATCATCGAAATATAATAAACCGTGAATTCTTGAATTTAACAATATGCGTTATTTTAATATAAAAGAGAGTAACTGATAAGATTCTTTCTTGGTCACATACAACAGAAAGGGCAATGTCATCATAGTATCATCCACAACAGATTAACCTGAATGCTTGATTGAAAATTCTCTGTCTATATTTCTGACATGTGGCGTTATGTACACTATTTACATTATTCGGACTATTGTCCTCATATGTGTTACCATATTTATTACAACGTTTCGGCCGTTGTACGCTCCGGTCTTCTTCAGGTGGTTAGAATTTCGCTCACTTTCGTAGACTGTTCTATTTCCACGTGCCATGTTTTGATGAATGTCAGTTATCAGTTATCTCCTGATAATTCCCGTTTCCAAGTTCTCCACTGCCTTAACCGGGTATTGAATTCACACTCTTTGGGTCCTATCACTGGATCTAACCTACGCCTTTATCCTTGAGGACATCTGTGTATGAATTTCTAGGTATTATAAACCTAATATCTTTGCAACCTTTTTTACCACTACTCATATTGCAATTTTTTGTTGTTATTATCGCTTTTCTCTGGCACTCCTTATTACTGGTTCCCATATTGTATTCATTTCTATGCTTGGTCGGCTCAGGAGATTTTTGTGGTTTAGTATATGTTGATTTCATAAGTTTACGAATTTTCCAATAATGTTCTTTGTCTATGATCTCAACCTGATCCCACAGAGGGCGGTGATCTCCCTTTTCTCTCCATATGTGGAAAAATAATGTCGAAAATTCTCAACACTCGACACATTCGGAGTGACCCTACCTGACGTTCCGCCTACAAATGTAGCTCTACAGAGTGATATGCTCATAACTCTGACTTTGGTTGTGGGCATCATCTCTAAATTAGACTTTCATAAAGTAAGTGGGAGTGACGATCAATGCAGAAGATAAGCATATTACCTCCCACGATCTACTCTCTAACAAAAAAATATGTCCAGTCTACCGCTGATGTGCTTACCGCCATAACTGAATATGTATATCAAGCTCTTGATAATAACGATGAAGCTGGAGCTGAGGCTCTAGAAATCTCGAAGGCGTTTTGATAGGGTTTGGCGTGCTGGCCTTCCACGTAAGCTTCAGGGCTACGGTATAACAGGACGATTATTTCATTTAATCCAATCATTCCTATTAAATTGTAAAATGAAAGTTGTACTGAACGGGTTCTCTTCCAGTTCCTTTCATACGAGCGCGTATCTCCCCCGAGGCTCTATTCTTGGACTTACACTGTTTCTGTACTGATGTAATCAGCACTCAAGTATCAAGGCATCTATGCAAAAGATACTACGACTATCCCAAGTATCAAGGCGTCTATGTAGAAGACGCTACCCCTATCTCAAGTATCAAGGCATCTATGCAGAAGATGCTACCACGATCTTAAGTCTCAAGGCATCTATGCAGAAGACACTAGAACTATCTCAAGTATCAAGGCATATCTCAAACTATCAAGGCATCTATGCAGAAGACACTACTACTATCTCAAATATCTTAAGGTATCAAGGAATCTATGCAGAAGACACTACTACTATTAATATCAAATATGCGAAGGACACTACATCAAATTAAGGCGTCTATGCAGAAGACACTACTATTCTCTCAAATCTCAAGGCATCTATCAAGGCATACTACTATCTCAAGTAGCATCTAGAGACACACTACTATTTCAAATATCAAGGCATCTATAGAAGACACTACTATTATCTCAAATATCAAGGCATCTATGCAGAAGACACTACTACTATCTCAAGTATCAAGGCATCTATGCAGAAGACACTACTACTATCTCAAATATCAAGGCATCTATGCTGAAGACACTACAAGATCTATATCAAATCTATCAAGGCATCTATGCAGAAGACACTACTACTATCTCAAATATCAAGGCATCTATGCAGAAGACACTACTACTATCTCAAATATCAAGGCGTCTATGCAGAAGACACACTACTATCTCAAGTATCAAGGCATCTATGCAGAAGACACTACTATCTATCTATCTCTATCAGGCATCTATGCAGAAGACACTACTACTATCTATCAAGGCATCAGACACTACTACAAGGCATCTATGCAGAAGACACTACTACTATCTCAAGTATCAAGGCATCTATGCAGTATCAAGGCATCTACTACTATCTCAAGTATCAAGGCATCTATGCAGAAGACACTACTACTATCAAAACTACTATCAAGGCATCTATGCAGAAGGCTATCTCAAATATCAAGGCATCATGCAAGACACTACTACTATCTCAAATATCAAGGCATCTATGCAGAAGACACTACTACTATCTCAAGGCAAGGTCTATGCAGAAGACACTACTACTATCTCAAATATCAAGGCATCTATGCAGAAGACTACTATCTCAAATATCAATCTATCAGGGCACGATACTACTATCTCAAATATCAAGGCGTCTATGCAGAAGACACTACTACTATCTCAAATATCAAGGCATCTATGCAGAAGACACTACTACTATCTCATGCAGTATCAAATAAAGGCATCTATGCAGAAGACACTACTACTATCTCAAGTATCAAGGCATCTATGCAGAAGACACTACTACTATATCTCAAGTATCAAAGGCATCTATGCAGAAAGACACTACTACTATCTCAAGTATCAAGTCTAAGACTACTCCAGTATCCAAAAGACACTATGCAAGACACTACTACTATCTCAAATATCAAGGCATCTATGCAGAAGACACTACTACTATCTCAAATATCAAGGCATCTATGCAGAAGACACTACTACTATCTCTATGCAAGTATGCATGAAGAAGACACTACTACTATCTCAAATATCAAGGCATCTATGCAGAAGACACTACTACTATCTCAAATATCAGGCATCTATGCAGAAGACACTACTACAGAAATATCAACATCTATGCAGAAGACACTACTACTATCTCAAATATCAAGGCATCACTACTACTATCTCAAATATCAAGGCATCTATGCAGAAGACACTACTACTATCTCAAATATCAAGGCATCTATGCAGAAGACACCACTACTATTATCTCAAATATCAAGGCATCTATGCAGAAGACACTACTACTATCTCAAATATCAAGGCATCTATGCAGAAGACACTACTACTATCTCAAATATCATCTATGCAGAAAGACACTATTACTATCTCTATCAAGGCATCATGAAGACACTACTACTATCTCAAATATCATGGCATCTATGCAGAAGACACTACTACTATCTCAAGTATCAAGGCATCTATGCAGAAGACACTACTACTATCTCAAATATCAAGGCATCTATGCAGAAGACACTACTATATATCTCAAGTATCAAGGCATCTATGCAGAAACACTACTACTATCTCAAATATCAAGGAAGCATCTATGCAGAAGACACTACTACTATCTCAAGTATCAAGGCATCTATGCAGAAGACACTACTACTATCTCAAATATCAAGGCATCTATGCAGAAAGACACTACTACTATCTATCAAGGCGTCTATGCAGAAGACACTACTACTATCTCAAATATCAAAGGCATCTATGCAGAAGACACTACTACTATCTCAAATATCAAGGCATCTATGCAGAAGACACTACTACTATATCTCAAAATATCAAGGCATCTATGCAAATAGACACTACTACTATCAATCTCAAATATCAAGGCATCTATGCAGAAGACACTACTACGATCTCAGTATCAAAGGCGTCTATCAGAAGACACACTACTATCTCAGGCATCTATCAAGGCACTCTATCTATGCAGAAGACACTACTACTATCTCATATCAAGCGTCTATGCTACTACTATCTCAAATATCAAGGCGTCTATGCAGAAGACACTACTACTCAAATATCAAGGCATCTATGCAGAAGACACTACTACTATCTCAAATATCAAGGCATCTATGCAGAAGACACTACTACTATCTCAAATATCAAGGCATCTATGCAGAAAGACACTACTATCTCTCAAGTATCAAGGCATCTATGCAGAATACACTACTACTATCTCAATCTATCCAATCTCAAATATCAAGGCATCTATGCAGAAGACACTACATTCAAAATATCAAGGCATCTATGCAGAAGACACTACTACTATCAAGTATCAAGCATCTATGCAGAAAACACTACTACTATCTCAAGTATCAAAGGCATCTATGCAGAATACACTACTACTATCTCAAATCTATCAAGGCATCTATGCAAGCAGAACACTACTACTATCTCAAGTATCAAGGCATCTATGCAGAAGACACTACTACTATCTCTATTCAGAAGTATCAAGGCATCTATGCAGAAGACATACTATCGATCTCAAATATCAAGGCATCTATGCAGAAGACACTACTACTATCTCAAATATCAAGGCATCTATGCAGAAGACACTACTACTATCTCAAATATCAAGGCATCTGTAACTACTACTATCTATGCATCTATGAAGACACTACTACTATCTCAAATATCAAGGCATCTACTATCTCAGTAAGACACTATGCTACTATCTCAAGTATCAAGGCATCTATGCAGAAAGACACTACTACTATCTCAAATATCAAGGCATCTATGCAGAAGACACTACTACTATCTGACTCAAGGCATCCTATGCAGAAGAACTCGATCTCAAGTATCAAAGGCATCTATGCAGAAGACACTACTACTATCTCAGGTATCAAGGCTATCTATGAAGAAGACACTACTACTATCTCAAATATCAAGGCGAAATTTTCTACTATCTCTCTATGCAGAAGACACTACCACGATCTCAAATATCAAGGCATCTATGCAGAGACACTACTACTATCTCTCAAGTATCAAGGCATCTATGCAGAAGACTATCTCTACTACTATCTCAAATATCAAGGCATCTATGCAGAAGACACTACTACTATCTCAAGTATCAAGGCATCTATGCAGAAGACACTACTACTATCTCTGGCATCAAGGCATCTATGCAGAAAGACATACTACTATCTCCAAGTATCAAGGCATCTATAGAAGACACTACTACTATCTCAAATATCAAGGGAATCTATGCAGGAAGACACTACTACTATCTCAAGTATCAAGAGGCATCTATGCAGAAGACACTACTACTATCTCAAGATCACTACTACTATCTCATCAAGGCATCTCAAGACACTACTATCAAATCTCAAGGCGTATCGATCTCAAGGCATCTATGCAGAGACACTACTACTATCTCAAGTATCAAGGCATCTATATCTACTACTATCTCAAGTATCAAGGCATCTATGCAGAAGACACTACTACTATCTCAAATATCAAGCATCTATGCAGGCGTACTATCTCAAAATAGAAGAATGCGAAGACCTACTACTATCTCAAGTATCAAGGCATCTATGCAGAAGACACTACTACTATCTCAAGTATCAAGGGCATCTATGCAGAAGACACTACTACTATCTCAAAGGCATCAAGGCATCTATGCAGAGACACTACTACTATCTCAAGTATCAAATATCAAACACTATCTATGCAGGAAGAAACACTACGACTATCTCAAGTAAGGCATCTATGCAGAAGACACTACTACTACTACTATCTCAAGTATCAAGGCATCTATGCAGACACTACTACTATCTAAATATCAAGGCATCTATGGAGAAGACACACTACTACCAAATATCAAGGCATCTATCTCAAATATCAAGGCATCTATGCAGAAGACACTACTACTATCTCAAGTATCAAGGCATCTATGCAGAAGACACTACTACTATCTCTCAATATCAAAGGCATCTATGCAGAAGACACTACTAGCGTCTATGCAGGAACCTCTCAAATATCAAGGCATCTATGCAGAAGACACTACTATATCTCAAGTATCAAGGCATCTATGCAGAAGACACTACTACTATCTCAAATATCAAGGCATCTATGCAGAAGACACTACTACTATCTCAAATATCAAGGCATCTATGCAGAAGACACTACTACTATCTCAAATATCAAGGCACTCACCATCTGAAGAAGGCACACTACTACTATCTCAAATATCAAGGCATCTATGCAGAAGACACTACTACTATCTCAAATATCAAGGCATCTCAAATGCAGAAGACACTACTACTATCTCAAATATCATGCATCTATGCATCTATGCAGAAGACACTACTACTATCACAGGTATCAAGGCATCTATATGAAATAAAGACACTACTACTATCTCAAATATCAAGGCATCTATGCAGAAGACACTACTACTATCTCAAATATTAAGGCATCTATGCAGAAGACACTATATTATCTCAAATATCAAGGCATCTATGCAGAAGACACTACTATCAAGGCATCTATCTCAGTATCAAGGCATCTATGCAGAAGACACTACTACTATCTCAGAGTATCAAGGGCATCTATGCAGAAGTACACTACTACTATCTCAAGTATCCAGGCATCTATTCAGGAAGACACTACTACTATCTCTCAAAAGTATCAAGGCATCTATGCAGAAGACACTACTACTATCTCAAATATCAAGGCATCTATGCAGAAGACATACCTCTCTACTATCTACTATCAAGGTATCAAGGCATCTATGCAGAAGACACTACTACTATCTCCAAATATCAAGGCATCTCAAAATATCAAGGCGTCTATGAAGACACACTACTATCTCAAATATAAAGGCATCTATGCAGAAGACACTACTACTATCTCAAGTATCATGCAGAGCATCTATGCAGAAGACACTACTACTATTCCAAGTATCAAGGCATCTATGCAGAAGACACTACTACTATCTCAATATCAAGGCACTCTACTAATGAAGCATCTATGCAAAGACACTACTATTATCTCAAACTATCTCAAATCAAGGCATCTATGCAACACTACTACTATCTCAAATATCAAGGCATCTATCTCAAATATCAACACTATGCAGAACACTACTACTATCTCAAGTATCAAGGCATCTATGCAAGAGGAAGAAGACACTACTACTATCTCAAATATCAGGCATCTATGCAGAAGACATCTATACACTACTATCTCAAGTATCAAGGCATCTATGCAGAAGACACTACTACTATCTCAAACTATCAATCAAGGCATCTATGCAGAAGACACTACTACTATCTCAAATATCAAGGCATCTACTGCAGAAGACACTGTACTACTATCCTATAAATATCAAGGCATCTATGCAGAAGACACTACTACTCTCTATCTCAGGCATCTATCAAGGCTACTCTATGCATCTATGCAGAAGACACTACTACTATCTCCAAATATAAAGGTCTATGCAGAAGACACTACGACTATCTCAAGTATCAAGGCATCTATGCAGAAGAAACTACTATCTCAAATATCAAGGCATCTATGCAGAAGACACTACTACTATCTCAAGTATCAAAGGCATCTATGCAGAAGACACTACTACTATCTCAATTATCAAGGCATGTCTATGCAGAAGACACTACTTACTATCTCAAGTATCAAGGCATCTATGCAGAAGACACTACCACGATATCTCAAATATCAAAGGCATCTATGCAGAAGACACTACCCCTATCTCAAGTATCAAAGGCATCTATCTCTATCTCAATATCAAGGCATCTATGCGAAGACACTACTACTATCTCAAATATCAAGGCATCTATGCAGAAGACACTACGATCCTCAAGTATCAAGGCATCTATGCAGGAGCACTACCACTCCAACTATCAAGGTATCTCAAATATCAAGTATCAATACTGTTGAAGACACTATTACTATCTCAAGTATCAAGGCATCTATGCAGAAGACACTACTACTATCTCAATTATCAAGGCGTCTGTGCAGAAGACACTACTACTATCTCAAGTATCAAGGCATCTATGCAGAAGACACTACTACCATATCTCAAGGTATAAAGGCATCTATGCAGAAGACACTACTACTATCTCAAGTATCAAGGCATCTATGCAGAAGACACTAACTATTTATCTCAAATATCAAGGCATCTATGCGAAGACACTACTACTATCTCAAATATCAAGGCATCTATGCAGAAGACACTACTATATCTCAAGTATCAAGGCATCTAGTGCAGAAGACACTACTACTATCTCCAAATATCAAGGCATCTATGCAGAAGACACTACTACTATCTCAAATATCAAGGCATCTATGCAGAAGACACTACTATCATCTCAAGTATCAAGGCATCTATGCAGAAGACACTACTTATCTCAAATATCAAGGCATCTATGCTGAAGACACTACTACTATCTCAAGTATCAAGGCATCTATGCAGAAGACACTACTACTCAAATCTCAAGGCGTCTATCAAGGCATCTATGTCAGAAGACACTACTATCTCAAATATCAAGGCATCTATGCAGAAGACACTACTACTATCTCAAATATCAAGGCATCTATGCAGAAGACACTACTACTATCTCAAGTATCAAGCATATCAAGGCATCTATCTCAAATATCAGAAGACACTACTACTATCTCAAATATCAATCCTCAAATATCAGGGCATCTATGCAGAAGACACTACTACTATCTCAAGTATCAAGGCATCTATGCAGTAGAAGACACTACTACTATCTCAAGTATCAAGAGCATCTGTAAGAACACTACTATCTCAAATATCAAGGCATCTATGCAGAAGACACTACTACTATCTCAAGTATCAAGGCATCTATGCAGAAGACACTACTACTATCTCCAAGTATCAAGGCATCTATGCAGAAGACACTACTACTATCTCAAGTATCAAAGGCATCTATGCAGAAGACACTACTACTATCTCAAGTATCAAGGCGTCTATGCAGAAAACACTACTACTATCTCAAATATCAAGGCATCTATGCAGAAGACACTACTACAAGGCATCTCACAAGTATCAAGGCATCTATGCAGAAGACACTACTACTATCTCAAATATCAAGGCATCTATGCAGAAGACACACTACTATCTCAAATATCAAGGCATCTATGCAGAAGACACTACTATTATCTCAAATATCAAGGCGTCTACAGAAGAAACTACTACTATCTCAAGTATCAAGGCATCTATGCAGAAGACACTACTACTATCTCAAATATCAAAGGCATCTATGCAGAAGACACTACTACTATCTCAAATATCAAGGCATCTACTACTATCTCAAATATCAAGGCATCTATGCAGAAGACACTACTACTATCTCAAATATCAAGGCATCTATACGAAACACCCTACCACGATCAAATCAAGGCATTTATGCAGAGAAGACACTACTATCTCCAAATATCAAGGCATCTATGCAGAAACACTACTACTATCTCAAATATCAAGGCATCTATGCAGAAGACACTACCACGATCTCAAATATCAGGCATCTATGCAGAAGACACTACTACTATCTCAAGTATCAAGGCATCATGCAGAAGACACTACTACTATCTCTCAAGTATCAGGGCATCTATGCTGAAGACACTACTACAATATCTCAACTATATCAAGGCATCTATGCAGAAGACACTACTACTATCTCAAGTATCAAGGCATCTGTCCAGAAGACACTACTACTATCTTAAGTATCAAGGCATCTAAGGCATCTATACTACTATCTCAAGTATCAAGGCATCTATGCAGAAGATTAATTACTACTATCTCAAATATCAAGGCATTTTATGCAGAATACACTACTACTATCTCAAGTATCAAAGCGTCAATGCTGAAGACACTACTACGATCTCAATTATCAAGGCATCTATGAAGACGCCACTACTACTCATCTATAAAGGCGTCTGCAGAAGACACTACTATTATCTCAAGTATCAAGGCATCTATGCAGAAGACTATCTCAAGTATCAAGGCATCTATGCAGAAAACTGCTACAATTTCAAATATCAAGGCATCTATGCAGAAGACACTACTACTATCTCAAGTATTAAGGCATCTATGCAGAAGACACACTACTACTATCTCAAGTATCAAGGCATCTATGCAAGACACTACTACGGTCTCCAAGTATCCAAGGCATCTATGCGTGAAATTATCTACGTATGCAGAACACCACCATCTCAAGTATCAAAGGCATCTATGCAGAAGACGCACTACTCTCTTAAGTATCAAGGCATCTATGCAGGAAGACACTACTACTCTCTCACAAGGCATCCGAAAAAGCTACTACTATCTCAAGTATCAAGGCATTTATGCAGAAGACACTACTACTATCAGTCAAGGCGTCTATCAAGACACACTACATTTCAAATATGCTGAAGACACTACTACTATCAAGTTAAGGCATCTATGCAGAAGACACTACTACTATCTCAAATATTAAGGCATATGCAGAAGACACTATTACTATCTCAAGTATCAGCGCATCTATGCAGAAGACACTACGATTTCAAATATCAAGGCATCTATGCCGTAGGGACACTACTACTATCTCAAGGATCAAGGCGTCTGTGAAGCACGAGAATAAGGCATCTATGCAGAAGACACTACTCTCAAGTATCAAGGCATCTATGCTGAAGACACTACCACGATCTCAAGTATCAAGGCGTCTATTGAAGACACACCACGATCTCAAGTATCAAGGCGTCTGTGCAGAAGATGACGATTCAAGGCATCTCTGCTACTATCTCAAGTATCAAGGCATCTATGCAGAAGACACTTCTACTATCTCTGTATCAAGGCGTCTATGAATAGAAGACACTGCTACTATCTCAAATATCAAGGCGTCTATGCAGAAGACACTACGATCTCAAGTATCAAGGGCATCTATGCAAAGACACCACTACTATCTCAAGTATCCAAGGCATCTATGCAGAAGACACTACTACTATCTCAAATCAAGGCATCTATGCAGAAGACCTACCACTATCTCAAGTATCAAGGCATCTATGCAGAAAACACTACTACTATCTCTGATATCAAGGCGTCTATGCAGAAGACACCTACTACGATCTCAATATCAGGCATCTATGCATGAAGACACTACCACGATCTCAAGTATCAGGCAAGGACACTACTACTATCTCAGTAGAAGAAGACACTACTACTATCTCAACATCAAGGCATCTATGCGCAAGACACTACCGATCTCAAGTATCAAGGCATCTATGCAGAAGACACTACTACCGATCTCAAGTATCAAGGTATCATGCAGAAAGACACTACTACTATCTCAAGTATCAAGGTCTATGTTGAAGACACTACCACGATCTCAAGTATCAAGGCATCTATGCAGAAAACACTAACACTATCTCGACTATCTCAAGTATCAAGGCATCTATGCAGAAGACACTACCAAGATCTCAAGCATCTATGCAAGGCTACTACTATCTCAGAGTATCAAGGCATCAGAAGACACTACCACGATCTCAAATATAAAGGCATCTATGCAGAAGACACTACTACTATCTCAAGTATCAAGGCGTCTATGCAGAAGACACCAACACGATCTCAAGTATCAAGCATTCATGAAGACACTATCTCAAGTATCTATAAGAAGACACTTCATCTCAAGTATCAAGGCGTCTATGCAGAAGACACTACTACTATCTCAAGTATCAAGGCATCTATGCAGAAGACACTACTAATCTCAAATATCAAGGCATCTATGCAGAACACTACTACTATCTCAAGTATCAAGGCATCTATGCTGAAGACACTACTACTATCTCAAGTATCAAGGCATCTATGCAGAAGACACTACTACTATCTCAAGTATCATTTATGGCATCTATGCAAATGAAGAAGACACTACTACTATCTCAAATATCAAGGCGTCTATGCAGAAGACACTTACTATCTATCTCAACTATATCAAGGCATCTGTGCAGAAGACACTACTACTATCTCAAGTATCAAGGCATCTCTAGAAGACACTACTACTATCTCAAATATCAAGGCATCTATGCAGAGGCACTACTACTATCTCAAATATCAAGGCATCTATGCAGAAGACACTACCACTTATCTCAAATATCAAGGCATCTATGCAGAAGAAACTACTACTATCTCAAGTATCAAGGCATCTAGCAGAAGACACTACTACTATCTCAAGTATCCAAGGCATCTATGCTGAAGACACTACTATCTCAAATATCAAGGCATCTATGCGAAGAACTACTACTATCTCCAAGTATCAAGGCATCTATGCAGAAGACACTACTACTATCTCCAAGCATCAGGCATCTATGCAGAATACACTACTACATCTCTATCAGGGCGTCAATGAAGAAGACACTACCACTATCTCAAGTATCAGAAGGCATCTATGCAGAAGACACTACCATTATCTCAATATCAAGGCATCTATGCAGAAGACACTACTACTATCTCAAGTATCAAGGCATCTATGCAGAAGTGACACTACTAGTTTCAAATATCTCATTCTCAAGTATCAAGGCATCTATGCAGAAGACACTACCATGATCTCAAGGATCAAGGCATCTATGGTACAGACACTACTACTATCTCAAGTATCAAGGCATCTATGCAGAATACACTACTACTATCTCAAGTATCAAGGCATCTATGCAGAAGACTACTACTCTCTCACGATCTGAAGACACAACTATCTCATCAGGCATCTATGCAGAAGACACTACGATCTCAAGTATCAAGGCATCTATGCAGAAGACACTACCACGATCTCAAGTATCAAGGCATCTATGCAGAAAGACTATATCTCGATCTCAGGCATCTATGCTGAAGACACAGTAGAAGACAAGCATCTACTTATATCTCAAATATCAAGGCATCTATGCAGAAGACACTATTACGATCTCAAGTATCGAGCATCAATGCGATCTCGGCGTATGAAAAACACCACTACGATCTCCATGTATCAAGGCATCTATGCAGGGAAACACTACCACGATCTCAAGTTTCAAGGCATTTATGCAGAAGACACTACTACTATCTCAAGTATCAAGCATCATGCAGAAGAATACCACGATATCGAAGCATCTATGCAGAAACACTACCACGATCTCAGGTATCAGGCATCTATGGTGAAGACACTACTACTATCTCAAGTATCAAAGGCATCTATGCAGAAGACACTACTACTATCTCAAGTATCAAGGCATCTATCTGTATCTGAAGACACTACCACGATCTCAAGTATCTAAGGTATCATCTATGCAGAAAACACTACTACTATCAAGTCATCTATGCAAGGCACTTCATGTCAGGGAAGACACACTACTACTATCTCCAGAAGTATCAAGGCATCTATGCTGAAGACACTACCACGATCTCAAGTATCAAAGGCATCTATGCAGAAGACACTACTACTATCTCAAGTATCAAAGGCATGCTGAAGACACTACCACGATCTCAAGTATCAAGGCGTCTATGCTGAAGACACCACCACGATCTCAAGTATCAAGGCATCTATGCAGAAGACACTGCACTACTATCTCAAGGCATCAAAGGTCTCTAGTGAGACACACTATCACAAGTATCAAGGCATTTATGCAGAAGACACTACTACTATCTCAGGTATCAAGGCGTCTATGAAGAACACTACCAAGATTACTATATCAAGGCATCTATGCAGAAGACACTACCACGATCTCAAGTATAAAGGCATCTATGCAAAGACACTACTACTATCTCATGCATCAAGGCATCTATGCAGAAGACACTAACACGATCTCAAGTATCAAGGCATATGAAGACACTACTACTATCTCAGAGTATCAAGGCGTCTATGCAGAGACACTACTACATCTCAAGATCAAGCCTTGGCATCTCAAGGCATCTATGCTGAAGACACTGCTACTATCTCAAGTATCAAAGGCATCTGTGAAGAGACACCACGATCTCAAGTATCACATCTATGCAGAAGACACTACTATCTCAAGTATCAAAGGCATCTATGCAGAAGACACTACCACGATCTCAAGTATCAAGGGTATCTGATCTCAAGTAGACATCTATGCAGAAGATCACCAAGTATCAAGGCATCTCTGCGAGAAGACTATCACAAGATCTCAAGTATGCAGAAACACTTCTCCTAGGCGTCTATAGAGAACCACTACTATCTCAAATATCAAGGTACCGTCTATGGAAGACACCACCACGATCTCAAGTATCAAGGCATCTATTGGAAGACATCACTACTATCTCAAGTATCAAGGCATCTATGCAGAAGATATCTACTACTATCTCAAGTTTCAAGGCATCTATGCAGAAGACTTTACCACGATACCCGATTATCTATCAAGTATCTCAAGGGCATCTATGCTGCTTATAATTACCACGATCTCAACATCCAGGCATCTATGCAGAAGACCTACCACGATCTCAAGTATCAAGGCATCTGTAGAAGACACTACTACTATCTCAAGTATCAAGGCATCTGTGCTGAAGACACTACCACTATCTCAAGTATCAAGGCATCTATGCAGAAGACAATACTACTATCTCACATTTCAGGCATCTATGCCGAAGACACTACCACGATCTCAAGTATCAAGGCACATCTATGCAGAAAATTACTAGTATCAAGGCATCTCCTACGATCTCAAAGGCATCATGCTGCAGACACTACCACGATCTCAAGTATCAAGGCATCTATGCATATACCATTTCCTCTCAACTATCAAGGTTTCTCTGCAGAAGAAGACACTACTACTATCCAGTATCAAGGCATCTATGCAGAAGACACTAACACGATCACAAGTATCAAAGGCATCTATGCAGAAGACACATCACGGATCCCCAAGTATCCAAGGCATCTGCAGAAGACACTACTATATCTCAGTATCAAGGCATCATGCTGGAAGACACTACCACGATCTCAAGTATCAAGGCATCTATGCAGAAGACAATACATTATCTCTAAATATCAAGGCATCTATGTAGCACACTACCACGATCTCAAGTATCAATGCATGCAAAATCACTCTACTACGATCTCATGTATAAAGGCGTCTATGCAGAAGACACTACTTACCATCCCAAGTATCATACTCCATATGCTAAAGACACTGCACGATCTCAAGTATCAAGGCATCTATGCAGAAGACACTACTACTATCTCAAGTATCAAGGCATCTATGCAGAAGACACTACCACGATCACAAGTATCAAGGGCATCTATGCAGAAGACACTACCACGATCTCAAGTATCAAGGCATCTATGCAGAAAGACATCTACTACTATCTCAGTATCAAGGCATCTATGCTAAAGACACTACCACGATCTCAAGTATCAAGGCATCTATGCAGAAGACACTACTACTATCTCTCAAGTATCGTATGCATCTATGCAGAAGACACTACCACTTTCTCAAGTATCAAGGCATCTATGCGAAGACACTACCACGATCTCAAGTATCAAGGCATCTATGCAGAAGATTACGATCCTCGCAGAATACACTATCAAGTATCAAGGCATCTATGCAGAAGATACTACCACGATCACAAGTATCAAGGCGTCTATGCTAAAGACACTACCACGATCTCAAGTATCAGGCATCTATGCAGAAGACACTACCACGATCTCAAGTATCAAGGCACTATGTAAAGACACAAGTATCAAGGCAAGTATCGTTAAAGCATCTATATCCCGTGCTCAAAGCGTCTAGAAGACACACTACGATCTCAAATATCAAGGCATCTATGCAAAGACACTACTACTATCTCAAGTATCAACATCTATGCAGAAGACACTACTACTATCCTCAAGTATCAAGGCGTTCATGCAGACACTACTACTAAGACACTACGAAGACACTTGATCTCAAGTATCAAGGCATGCTATGCAGAAGACACTACCATGATCCTAAGTATCAAGGCATCTATGCTGAAGACACTTCTACTATCTCATGCATCAAGGCATCTATGCTGGAAGACACTACCACGATCTCAGGCATCTATGCAGAAGACACACTACTATCAAGAAGATCTATATGCAGAAGACACTACTATCTCAAGTATCAAGGCATCTATGCAGAAGATCTCACCACCACTATCGATCTCAAGCATCAGCATCTGCAGAAGACTACTATCCATGTCGATCCTGAAGACACTACGATCTCAGTATCGAGGCATCTATGCAGAAGACACTACCACGATCTCAAGTATCAAGGCATCTATGCAGAAGACACTACTAGCTATCTCGAGTTTCAAGGCGTCTATGCAGAGACAGACACTATCTCCACGATCAAGGCATCTGTATTTACTCAAGTATCAATGCATCTATGCTGAAGACACTACTACGATCTCAAGCATCAAGCGCATCTTGCAGAAGACACTACTACTATCTCAAGCCTTCCAAGCATCTATGCTGAAGACACTATCATCTCAAGTATCATGAGGCATCTATGCAGAAGACACCATCACGATCTCAATATAAGGCATCTATGCAGAAGATACACTACCACGATCTCAAGTATCAATGCATCTGCAGAGAAAACACTACTATCTTAGTATCAAAAGTCTATCAAGGACACTACAAATCTTAAAAGTATCAAGGCATGCAGAAGACACCTACCACGATTCAAGACACTACTACTATCTCAAGTATCAAGGCATCTATGCAGAAGACACTACATACTATCACGCATCAAGGCATCTATGTTGAAGACACTACCACGATCCTCAGTATCAAGGCATCTATGCAGAAAACACCACTACTATCTCAAATGTCAAGGCATCTATATGCAGAAGATCAAAGGCATCATGAGAAGTTTCCACGATCTCAAATATCAAGGCATCTATGCAGAAAGACACTATTACTTTCTCAAGTATCAAAGGCATCTGTGCAGAAGACACTACCACTATCTATCATCAAGTATCAAGGCATCTATGCAGAAGACACTACTACTATCACAAGTATCAAGGCATCTGGTGCAGAAGACACGAAGACACCACGATCTCAATATCAAGGCATCTATGCGAAAACCCTACTATTTATCTCGTTATCAAGTATCAAGGCATACTAATATCAAAGGCATCTATGGAAGACACTACCACGATCTCAGTATCAAGGCATCTATGCAGAAGACACTACTACTATCTCCAAATATCAAGGCATCTATGCAGAAGAAGACACTACTGCGATCTCAAGTATCAAAGGCGTCAGAGACACTACCGATCTCACAAGGATCTCAAGTATCTCAAGGCATCTGCGCAGAAGACCTCCACAGTATCAAGGGCCACGGACTTCTATATCAAGTATCAAAGGCGTCTATGAAGAAGACACTACACTATCTCAAATATCAGGCGTCTATGCAGAAGACACTACTCCAAGTATCTAAAGACACTACTACTATCAAGGCATCTATGCAGAAGACACTACTACTATATCTCCAGAAGTATCAAGGCATCTATGCAGAGAACACTGCCACGATCTCAAGTATCGAGGCATCTATGCAGAACTACCATGATCTCAAGTATCAAGGCATCTATGAAACGCTACTACTATCTCAAGTATCAAGGCATCTATGCTGAAGACTACCACATTCTATAAGTATCAAGCATCATGGATCATCAAGGCATCTATGCAGAAGACACTACTACTATCTCAAGCAAGCATCTAAGAACACATCTC